CCTGCTGTCTCACAAATAGCCTCTTGCTCTCACAAATAGCCTCTTTGATGGTAATCATCCATTTATTTGCCTTATATATCTTCCCTGCAGTTTTAGATCCTCCCAAGTTATCTTAGTTTGCATGAGACTGTCAGCGACCTGGATAACATTCAGACTTGTGAGGGAAGGTGGTCAAAGCCATAGAGCTGTGTTAACTTGAGTTGTAGCCCAGTTCCCTGACAAGACTGCCAGCTTGAGTGACTTTATGAACTCGGATAAAACTTTGCTGCTCACTTAATCTGCGATGATGAAAAATGTTCTGTGCATTAAGTACCAACTTGTGTGATGTAGAATATTAGTACTTAACTAATTGCTAGAGGCATCACAGAGATAAGTATTGCAAACTGCTCAGACACAGACATCTCTAAGGCTGTACTTATATGTAAAAGAAATGAACAATGGCCATAAAAACTCTCATCAGAAACTCCATCCTTAGCTATCTCCTTGGTGTAAAAATACAGAAACTGAAAGAGCAGAGTTAAATAGCTGTAGCAGAAAGTTAACATTCAGGATGACTGACTGCAAAATATTGATTTTTTTGAAATGTGTTTTTTTATGATTGACCTGCTCCACTTGTATATGAAATCCTGAAATGTTAGATGTCACCATAGGCTCAGTAATGTCTTGCCTACCATAACGATTCTAAGACTGAATGCCTGTAAAAAACAAGTTCCAGGCACTATGGTCCTGCATGACAGCACCAGGAGAATAAAGTCACCAGAGGAGGCAGCTCTGGAAACCCAGTGGAATTTCACGGGGGAATAACGTCTTACCCGTGTTCTCATTCCTGCACCATCTCGCATGGAGTTACCAGAGAGAAATAAAGGAATTATTACCAATGCTGTAAAAGCCTAAATGCCTAGGAGGCTGGGGCTGCCTCTCTCCAGCTGAACTCAGATGAAATTTTTGAACTGGAGAAAAGTGCCGTGAATTTGGAGCTGCAGAAGCCTTCCCTCCAGACAAGATTTTGAGCATAAGATTTTAGAGGAGTCAATGTTTTATCGCTACAACTGCTAACATTTGAGGGCAATAAGCTGGCTAATCTAATCGTAATTTTGAGCCTACAGTTCAGGATGGGAGGAACTGGGAGGGAACAAAGGAGTGCAAAGTTAAGCAAACAAGTAACGCACACAGAGACTGAGTAACATTCCCAGTTCTGGGGAAATGGGCATCATCCATAAAGTTATACATAGCACGGAAAATAAGAGTAAGGGAAAGGGCAGAGAAGGGTGCAAAGGCAGCTTTGTTTCACCGACATGTCTCCCACTACTCTCAGGGAGCTGGAATTCAGCTCTCTCTGTCATCAGTCTGGAGGAGACGTACAGAACTACTTACACTAAATTGGCACTTTCCTTCCTCTCTGCCACTTTAAACAATGGCAACAAAGAGAGGAAATTTCATAGGATGTTGAGGAAGCTCAATCCTCACCAATACTGGGAACATTCTCGGCATTGCACATACAGTGCATGGATTGATGTAGCTTATAAACATCAGTGAGCACTAATAAAGAATTTCCAGTAGTTAAATGTTTGTTACACCACTGATAGGAGACAACTTTTAGAATTTTATGCCTCTTTTTTGCAGTCCCTTTCTCTCATTTCAAAGAGGTCTCCTGTTCACTTCAGAATTTAAAAAAAATGACTGAAACGCCTCTACTGAATGGTCCTTCCTCAAACCAGAGTCAAAACAAGAGCAACTCAACTGTTTGCCCAGACTTGAATGACTGGTGGGAAATCGTGTACTACATAGTACCCAAGTATATCAACATCATCTGCATTATTGGAATGCTTGGAAATGTATTTGTTCTCTTCACTTATTCATTGCACAAGGGCCCCCTGAAGACAGCTGAAATCTACCTTATGAACCTAGCTGTTGCTGATCTTATCTTCCTCACGTGCCTTCCTCTCTGGGCAGAGAATATCAGGAACGAATTTAACTGGCCATTTAGCAATTTCCTTTGTCGTAGCACCAGCACATCCATCAGCCTAAACATGTACACCAGCATCTACTTGCTAGTGGCAGTCAGCGTGGATCGTTATTTGACTTTTGTTCATACCTTGAACCACCGCAGGATACGGAGCAAAACTACGGCCAAAGGGATCTGCTTGCTCACCTGGTTCTTCGGCATCCTTCTCAGCATCCCAACCTTTATGTTTCGGACTGTGAAACACTTTCCCCTGTGGAATATTTCAGCATGCGCTTTAGAGTTCCCCACCCCATCATGGGAAACAGCTGAAAACTTGGTATTCAACATAGTGGGGTTTGCGTTGCCATCTACAGCAATCATCTTCCTTAATTTCTCTACCATTCGCTCCCTGCAAAAACAAAGAAGAGAACGAAGAGCGCTCAGAACAAATCGTTGCGAGGAGCACAAAGGCACAAAGGCTACCAGGTTGATCTTTGCAGTGATACTGATGTTTCTTTTGTGCTGGACTCCTTACCATTTTTTTGTATTCCTTGATACGTTACACCAGACAGAAGTGATCAAAGGCTGCTTCTGGGGGGAACTGCTCAACTTTGGGGAGCAGTTTAGTTACACTCTGGCTACCACCAACAGTTGCATTAACCCTGTCATTTATGTCTTTGTTGGGAAATACTTCAGGCAAAAGGCTTTAGAAGTTTTTTCACAGATCATTCCCTGTGGATTTCCTTTGAGCTGGGTGTCGTTCAAAGAAAAGTCTTCATATTTCAACGTGTTTCCAGTCAGGAGCAGTTTAACGTAATGGTTCTCAGTTCCATCTTCATTTTGATATTACAACTCATTTCAAATGGCATTAAAACTGACTATGAAATGCACTGATCTAGCATTCACAGACTAAGTTAATTATTTATTAAGGTAAATCACTTGACTGCTTATTTGTCCTCAGGCTTGCTTTTCTTTTCCTGTGTGATCCATCCAAATGAATAACATGTGATACCAGAATTTTATACCAAATGATCTAACCTGTCTTATCAATTATCAGTGACTTGAAAGAAAAACTCTTTGACAAGATATCAGAAGTCTGGTTTCTTTACAGAAAGCCACAAGGTGGCTGAACATTTTGCTGCATTGTATCTGTGATGACAACCACTATACCACCAATAACACTATACATAAAATTATAATGTGAATTACAGAGCAAATATGAGCTTAATCTTCAGCTGATAGCTGCATTTGAGCAATTATAGCTGCAGTTATTTTTAACAATATTTTAAATGGTTTGCACTTTCACGGTAGCATATGGAAAATCTGAATAATTTTTCGTGCATTTCAAATATATTCAGTGCATAAATATTGTACAAGACAACGTACCACAAAGAAAGGGTACGTAAGCTGTAAAAACAGCAAAGCAACCTGGTGTCCACCTCAAAATATGACCTTTTTTGATCCAGTAAAATGTTACACAATTACTCATTAAGTAGATAAAGATTCTTTTTATTTTTTATATATGAAAATATCAGTGATGGCCATTGATACGGTATTGTTTTGGAATATCTTTCATCTGAGGTAAATCCTTAGATACATATTTATATTTTTATGAACCAAAATTAATAAACTGCATAACATCCCATTTTACACCATGGTCTTGTTCTTTCTTATATTTATTTTGTATTTTGTCTCTTTCC